TCTCCTGGTTGGTGGGGTGGACGCATGCCCAGCCGTGGCAAAGGCCTGGTGACGCCCACTGTCACGGTGGCTCCAGGGAGGGGGCGCGGGTGGCAGGACAGCCTACTCCCCAGGCCTCGAGGGAGGAAGCCCACCTTCCCTTCCAGCCTCCCTCACCCCTGTCCTTGAAGCTGCCCTTGGACACAGTGTGTCAGACCCCAGAATGGAGTCAGGAAGGGCCGGGGAGAGTCATATGGGACAGGGAGAGTCCTATAGGGTCTGGAGGGACAGGGAGAGTCCTATAGGGTCTGGGAGGGACAGGGAGAGTCCTATAGGGTCTGGAGGGACAGGGAGAGTCCTATAGGGTCTGGGAGGGACAGGGAGAGTCCTATAGGGTCTGGAGGGACAGGGAGAGTCCTATAGGGTCTGGGAGGGACAGGAGGAGTCCTATAGGGTCTGAGGGACAGGGAGAGTCCTATAGGGTCTGGAGGAGGACAGGGAGAGTCCTATAGGGTCTGGAGGGAAAGGGAGAGTCCTATAGTGCTGGGAGGGACAGGGAGAGTCCCCTATAGGGGTCTTGGAGGGACAGGGAGAGTCCTAGGGCCTGGGAGGGATAGGGAGAGTCCTATAGGGTCTGGAGGGACAGGGAGAGTCCTATAGGGTCTGGGAAGGACAGGGAGAGTCCTATAGGGTCTGGGAGGGACAGGGAGAGTCCTATAGGGTCTGGAGGGACAGGGAGAGTCCTATAGGGTCTGGAGGGACAGGGAGAGTCCTATAGGGTCTGGGAGGGACAGGGAGAGTCCTATAGGGTCTGGGAGGGACAGGGAGAGTCCTATAGGGTCTGGGAGGGACAGGGAGAGTCCTATAGGGTCTGGAGGGACAGGGAGAGTCCCATAGGGTCTGGAGGGACAGGGAGAGTCCTATAGGGTCTGGAGAGACAGGGAGAGTCCTATAGGGTCTGGAGGGACAGGGAGAGTCCCATAGGGTCTGGAGGGACAGGGAGAGTCCTATAGGGTCTGGGAGGGACAGGGAGAGTCCTGTAGGGTCTGGAGGGACAGGGAGAGTCATATGGGACAGGGAGGGACAGGGAGGGACTGGTTGGGCAGTGACGGGAGGTACCATAGTTTGGGAACCGCAGTTCCACCCTAGGGTCCCAGGTTCTTCTCCTCCCCCAGTGTTCTTGTCACCGCGTGGACGGACCCACAGCCCAGAACCCGAGGCCCGCAGAGGGAGGGCATTTCCAAGGGCCCCAGGTCCGGCCTGGGTTTGGGAGGCCGCAGGGTGGCCCAGGGCGGCGGCAGGGCTGGATGGAGCCGGAGAACAAAGGCTCTGCGCGCAGCGTGATTGGCCGCGAGCTGGACGGCGGCGGCGCCGGCCGCTCTCCACAAACACAGATGGGCTGGGAAGGGGGCGGCTGGAGTGAGGTGGAGGAATGTGGCCCCCAGATCTGATGGCTCAGCAGCTGGTGTGCGTGGGACCCGTGCCTGCAGCATGGGGGTTGACCCTTCAGCGGAGTTCCAAGCCCAGCTTCGGGGGGCTGTCTGCAGGTCAGGCACGGGGTCCCCCGAAGGCAAGGGTGAGCTGGAGATGGGGAGTCTGAGCAGAGGTGGGTGCCGCGTACAGGCCACTTGGAGCAGAAGGTGAGCTGAGGACCCGAGGGTGTGGGGGGCCGTTGCTCGGGCCAGCACGGCCTGACCGGCCGCAGGGGACCACGGGGAGGCCCCTGCACGGTCTCCTCCAGGCCGAGGACTCTGCCCGGCTGTCCCTGGACGGCGGCCAGAGACAATAGTCCTGGAGGGGGAGGGCCGGCCCCCCGGCACCTGCTTGTCATCTGCACAGTTCCTGGGCCACCGGCCCCCAACGTTCTTTCTGGAACTGACCTCTGGTCTCTCCACATGGAGTAGGGAGTCCGGGGCTGGGGGTGGACATGAGAAAGGACCAATCCTGATCTAGCTGGACCCCTGCCTGAGGACTCCTGGGCCTGGGGGCCCCGTCCCCAAAGCCCCAGCCTCAGTTTCCCCAGGGCCCTGGAGACCCCAGCAAAGGCTCCTGCCTGTTTGCTCAGCTCTGACGTGGGGGTGCTGGAGGATGTCCCCCTCGGGCCTTGCAGGTCCCTGATTCTGGGGGCCTAGGGGGTCAGAATCTCACTAGGTACTTTCCCGGGATGTTGGGAATTTGGCACATTCAGGAGCCTGAGCCCATGAGGCTGTGTGGGGACTTGACATTGGGGGGGGACTGAGACATTGGCCACCCCGTCTCCTTCCTAAACCCCCAGGCCACCCGAATGCAGGGCTGACAGCCCCATGGGCATCTCTGGGGCCCTTGTGAGTCCTGGCAGGTGGGCCCCAGACCCAGCAGAGGGGGAAGCCCAGCAAAAGTGGGGCTCTGGCGCCCTCTGCTGGCCACGCTTGTGAATGGATGCTCTGGACACCTGGCCCGATGGGGATAGATGCCGGCCCTCGGGGCCTGGCCCTGCCTGAGTCCAGGGACGGATCCCCTAAGGTGGGGACACAGGGGGCCCCTTTCACAGCCTAGCTGGACACAGGTATCGGCCGGAGCTCAGCCGAGGCTCTGCCAAGGGGCCTTTTCCAACCACTCAGGTCTGGTTCCTGGCCCCTCTCCCTGGGTGGCTCCACCAGGCCCTGGGCCCTCAAGGGCAGGGGTCCCCGCCTGGCACCCCTGCACCCCCTCCCAGGCCCCTCAGGGTCTGTTTGGGCCTGGAGAGCAGCGAGGAGGGTAAATATTCCCTGCCAGCAGGGACAGGCAAACTGCCCCAGCGGCCCGGTGCCAGTTGATCCAGCCAGGAGCAGGCGCAATCCGGGGAGCCAGCCTGGAGGCAGCCACGCTGGCAGAATGTCCTTGGGGTGCAGGCACAGAGGGACAGACGCCCTGGCCCTGGCTTCGGTCTCCCCCTCAGGAACACGGCTCCACAGAGCTCACCCCCATGAACGTGGGCCGGTGTTCACGGAGCAGACGTGAGCTTGAGTGAACGGGACGGTGTGGGCTGGGAAGCCCCTGGGAGACCAGCCCTGTAGTGAGGAGCTGGGGGTCAGGGAGCCTTCGGGACCAGCTGCTCCTCCCCGCCCCACCCGCGGTGACATGTGGGCTCCATGCAGTCTCTGCCAGGCCCACGGACAAGGAAAGCCCAGAGCCAAGGGCGGGCAGGGTCTGGGCACTGGAAGACTGTCCTCCCAGTTCCCAGAAGGGGCGGAGCACAGGCCTGATGGACACCATCAGGGGGTGACCTGGGGGTTCTAGGAATCCGGGCACCTGGGGTTCAGAGCCCAGGGTCTGATCCCACCTCTGTCCTGGGACCTCAAGCATGCCTGGGACATGGAGAATCCCCCACCCCACCTTTTCGTGGGCGCCCAGGGACGGGCGGGAGGCGCAGGTGCAGGGCCTTGAGTCTCAGGAGGGGGAGGGGAGGAAGGGCCCAGTGCAGGTGGGGGACCGAGGACCATGTCTCACCAGGGTGGAGACTTGGGTGGTCAGCCTTCCCCACCGCGCGGACGTGACCCTCTCCCGAGGCCCCGGAGGGCCGTCCTCGAGGGACACCCAGTGCCACCCCGGCCCATCCTGCCTTGAGTCCCACCATCTGGGGTGGCCGTGCGCCCCTGGACCCTAAAGGACTCCTGCTTGCCACCCTCAGAGTTTGCCGGCACTGAGGGGGCTCCTGGGTCATCCCTGACCAGTTGGGACATGGGCCTGACCAGCTGCTGCCTGGCGGGCACCCTGACCCCAGGCCCCTGCCCAGCCCAGCAGCCCCGGCCTGGCCTGTCAGCACCCCCGCCTCTCCCAGGACCACTGGGGACACCCCGCTTTTCCCAGCCACCCCCGCCCGGGTCCCGTGTCACCGTGTACCTGTCTGCTCAGCCCTGGCCCCCACTCCAGGGGTGGGGCTGGCTGGGGGCCTGTGACTTCCCCTTTGGGGGTGTCGATGTGGTTATGGGGAGGGGCGACCTGGGAGGGGCCCAGGCCCGTGGAGCCTTTCGGGAAGTGCTGGCAGGTCACCCACTGACCTCCAGTCCACGGCCAGCCCCGCAGCCCCAGCTCTGGCACCCGGGTGGTGGCCTAAGTCAGTGCCCAACGAGCCCCCTGGCTGCAGCGGGTACTGAGGAGGGGTCAGGACCCCTGGAGACCTGGACCTCAGGTTGCCTTGTGCTCAGGCCTGGTGGCATTTCTGGGGGTGACCAGCAGTGTGGGGCTGAAGGGGCGTCTGTGTGGTGGGAGGAGAGGACCAAAGGCAAGAGTCCTGGCCCATCTCTGGCCTGTGGGCTGCAGTTTGGGGGGCTCACAGCCAGGATGCCCCGCACACTAGGTCCCAGGCCCCTGCCCAGTGGCTTCTGGAGTCCCAGTCCGTCCCCTGGCTCGGGGGTGCTGCCTGACCTCTCCCGAGCCCCCCACGGCCACAGTCGGTGCCTCCGGATGGATCAGAGCTGGGGTGGGGGCGCTGAGGAGGCCCAGTCCGGGCAGCCTCTCATGCTCCCCTAGTCCTGCCCCTGTGACCCCCCCTCCCCTCCAGGGCCCATCAGAGACAGCCCGAAGGCAGGACTCGGGCAAGGTGGACGAAGTTGCTGGAAGACCTTGTCCTGTCCCCTCCGAAAGCTCCCTGAGAGCTCAAGGCTTTTGAGCCAAGAGTGTCAGCCTCCAGCCGGCGCCCCGGCCCCCAGACCCCGGAGACCCCGGACGGCCCTTCTCAGTCTTGTCCTGACCAGCCGGGGGCCCTGAGTCCTCCCAGTGACCCAGAGCAGGGGCAGTGGGCAGCCGACAGGAGCTGGCCACCCGGGGACACTGCCGTATGCCCAGGGCACCGCTGAGCATAGAGCAAACTTGGAGGGTCCAGTGCAGAGAGAGCAGGGAGGGGGCACTTGGGGAGGGTGCCGTGGCAGCCATGGCCAAGGGGGTGGCCGCGTGTGCCCCCGCGCCCCTGCCCCGCCAGCCGCCCACCCCACACGGACACCACGGAGGCTCGTCGAGGGGTTTATTGGGTAACAGGTGCCGGAGCGGGCAGGCGCGGCCGGCTAGTTGCAGTAGTTCTCCAGCTGGTACAGGGAGCAGATGCTGGTGCAGCACTGATCCACAATGCCCCGCTTCTGCAGGCGGCCCTCCGGGGCCAGGGGCTGCAGGCCGCCCAGCTCCGCCTCGCCCGCTGCCGAGGGAGACAGGGACCACGGTCAGCAGGCGGCCGAGCCGCCCGTGCCCACCAGGTGTGGCCCCTGCGTCCGCCACCGCCCCAGGGCAGGGCCACTGCCGGAACCTGAACAGGTGCCTGGTGCCCCGTCATGGGCCTGTCCCCACTCCCAGTACACACAGCCCACCCCAGCTCCTGCGCCCCACAGGGGCCCCCCCAACGCCTTCGTGAGTCCCCGAGACAGTCAGGGCCCAGGACCTGACTCCTAACGAAGGGGCAGCTATTGTCAGAGGGGATGGGGGAGAATGGACGGCAAGGGAGGGGACAAGCCCACCCTCAGGTGTCGTCCGGTCTGGTTTCTGCCCCCCGAAGTCAACACTGACCAGGGAGCTGGTCACTGTTAGGATGCGATCGTCTCCTTTCTAAAAGCCCCGCCTGCCGGGGGGGGGGGGGGGGGGGGAGGGGGACGGGCAGGGGCGGGGGCAGGGGCAGGGGCAGGGCCGCGGCTCACCCTGCGGGTCCTGCGCCTCCCGGCGGGCCTTGGGCGTGTAGAAGAAGCCTCGCTCCCCGCACACCAGGTACAGGGCCTCCACCAGGTGGGAGCCACACAGGTGCTGGTTGACGAAGGCCTGGGCAGGAGCGGGCGCCCAGAGGGCCAGCAGGGCCAGCAGGGGCAGGAGGCGTGTCCACAGGGCCATGGCGCTGACCTGGGGGCGGGTGGGTTGGTGCCGGTGAGGGGCACGTGCCCCGCGGGGACCCTCTCCCTCCAATGCTCCAACGGAAGAGCCCATGTCCTCTGGAGTCCGGAGACCCTGGGCTCCAGCAAGGTAGCCCCCAACCCAGGCTGCTCGGGGGCCCGGACTGACCTGCTTCCCGACGGCCTCTGGACGCAACTGGTGGGGTCCCGAGGGCTGGGCGCTGCTGGGCCCGGCCTGCTTTATAGCCCAACATGCCCCGGCCCTTGGAGCCCCAGGGGGTGGCAGATGGCCCGGGGGCTGAGGCTGCAGTTTATGGATCATTTGCCCAGTGCTGGGTCCGCAGGATCCTGTCGTTGGTCAGCACCTCCTAGGGCCACCGGGTCATTAGACCTTAACGAGGGGCCTGATGGCCCTCCGGCCCCACTCAGTGGGGGGCAGACGGCTCCGGGAGCAGAGCCATGGTTTCCACATTAGTCCGGGGAGTTGGGGTGAGGGGAGGGGGCTCTTCCTGCCCCAGCCCTGGAGCCCTGCCCGCGGTCCCTGGCCGGCCCTCAAGGCCCCATGATGGCCTGGGCCGTAGGGTGGGACAGTGGGGTCACCGCTCTGCCTGCAGCCCTGACCCCGCCCAACCTCAGCACAGCGGCTCCCCTGAGGCCCCCAGCTTCCCAGGGTGCTGCAGGGAGGGCTGGACTTGGGGACCAGCAGCCGCGAGGCCCTCAGGCTGGCCCTCTGTCTCAGCTTCAACGTGGGCGCAGCTCCCCGTCTGTGCTCGGCCCCAGGACTCCGCAGATGTGGCCCAGCCACGAACCCTCTCAACTCCCACCCCTCTTCCTGGAGCCCTGGCCCATCACCCTGTGCTGACCCCTGTCAGGTGCCCCGACACCCCCCATTCCCCCAACGGTGACATGGCCAAGCCCTGCCTCCCAGGACTTCAAAGTGCCCAAGGCCCCTCCATAGCCCGGGAGGACCGGGGGCCTCTTTGAGGGGGTGCAGGGTAGGAGGCTGGACAGGGGAGGACCCAGGCGGGAGGGCACAGCCCAGGGGTCAGTGAGGAGAGGGACATGAGACCCACCACCAGCCCTTCCCCAGGGTCTCCACGGAGCTCAGCCGTCAGGAGTGTCCCTGTCGGGGCCTCTCAGGCTGAAGTGAGGAGGTCCGGGGCTGACCAGGACAGGCTCCGGGGGTCTGGGGAGGGAGGCTTTGCCCAGGGGGGAAATGACGACGAGGAGCTCGCCAGGACCGAACCCCAAAGGGCTTAGAGACCGGGCCTCGTGGTGCTGGGGGGTGGAGGATGTGAGCAGGCCTGTAGGATGGGCTGCGTCTCCCCACCCTGCCAGATGGAAGCAAGGAGCCGGGCACCCAGGCTGGTCCCTCAAGGGGAGGAAGGGAGCCAGCCCTGGAGGGTGCAGGGGCTCTACATGGAGGGCCGTGTCCAGACCCCTGGATGGGGAGAATGAGGCCCAGAACGGTCGCCTGGGAAACAGCTCCCATTTTGGGGAGCATCCCAAGTCCTGCTCTGGGTGGGGTGGGGGGTGGGGATCAGAGGCAGCTGCACCTCACCAGCTCTCACGGGCTGGCCCCCGGCCCCTGTCCTCCACGTGGCCCTTGGAGACCACACCCCCCAATCAGCACAGCTCTGGGCGCCCCACACCCCCAGCCCAGGCGGTCAGGACCCCCAGCCCCCCCGGAGCTGCGGAGCTAAGGCTGGCTGGACCCCTGGGTGAGCGGGAGCGCAGGCCAGGGGGGTCCCCATGCTGGCCGGGGCTGCCCGGGGAGGCCTCACAGGAGGAAGAGGCAGGCAGACCTCTGAGCAAGGCTGGGGGGCCCAGGCCTGTGGGGTGCACGGACTCAGACACCAGACCATGACAGGACTTTTCTTTTATTAAGATTGCAAGTGGGCAGCACACAGTGTCGCGGGCAGCAGGGCGGGACAAGGACCCCGGCAGGCGGAGCTGAGAAGCGCATTGGGGGCTGCAGAGGTGCCCTCCAGCAGGGAGGGTCTCTGGAGAGCTCACACGGGGTGCCAGGGAGGCCAGGAAGGGCCAGGAGACCCAAAGGCCAGCCCACCAGGGCCCACAGGGCCGTGCCCTTAGCTGATGGCACTGAGGGCGTGGGCGAGGGCGTGCATCTCGTCCTGGATGTCCTCCAGGGAGCGCCGGATGGCTTGGGGACTGTCCAGCACGTCCACGGCCTGTGTGTACGGGTCAAACTTCACGGAGAAGGGGCGCTGGATGCGCGAGACGTAGTTCCTGGGGACGGGCCGGCATGGACCCTCAGTCCCCCGGTGGGGACTCGGGGGCCTCGGCAGGACTGGGAGGAGCTGGGGCAGCTGGAGGCAGGGTCTGCAGCCCCCAGGAAGCCCCACCCCCCATGCTCCACCCCAAGCCCAGGTCAGCCAGCCCTCCTCCTCTGGGAAGCCCTCCCAGACCGGGTGCCCTGGAGAGCCCAGTCTGCTCTTGTCCTTAAGCCTGTGTGTGGGAACCAGCCCTCCCCTTCTTCCCGCTCCCGGCACACAGCCCCTGGGCCTCAGTTTCTCCCGTGACCACGGGAACCCGGCCCTTCCCCAGGATATGGAGGGGGGCACGCCCGTCTCTGCCGACTCCCTCTGCAGCCCCAGGTCCCTGAAGTGGGGACTCCTCGCTCCCTCCGGAGCCCCCAGGTTCCCCGCCCCATGGCCCCGGCTGCTCAGCGGACAGGAACTGGGAGGGACCCACCACGCTTCTTAGAGGTCAGACTCAGCCCGGAGAAGCCCGGCCGTGGCCTGACCTTGGCCTGATGGCCAGCCCCAGGCCGCGCCCCCACCAGGCTTTCAGGAGGGGGTGCTGCTGTGGGAGGGGGTGCTGTAACCGGGGTGTTCGGTTTTCTCCTCTGTGCATTGGGCTCACAGGCCTGCCTGCCCCGGCTCCCCAGCTGGGGACATCGTCCGGTGGTCTCCGCCCCGGGCGCCGCCCACCTGAGCTTGTCCTTGGCATCGCTGAAGCTCTCGGACACGAAGTAGACAGACTGGTACGTCTGGTCCTGGTAGGGCTGCAGGGCCGCAGCGTCGGGGTCGAAGGCCCGGATCTCCGGCTCCTCCGACAGAGAGTGCTGGCGGGGCCACGGGGGGGGGGGGGGACTCTGAGTGTGGACTCACGCCCCCCCAGGTCCTCCCAAGGCCTGGGCACTGTGTGGGCGGCACAGGCAGAGACGCGCATCCTGACTTTCCCGGGACGCCCAGACCTAGGAGCCGAGGCCCAGGCTGCCCACCCTGCTGGGACCTGACGGGCCCGCGGGGTCTCACCAGGAGCTCCCCGTAGGAGGACAGCAGCCCGGCGCCGTAGGCCTTCAGCTCCCCGTTCTGCTTGCACAGGCCGAACTCCACGGTGAACCAGTACAGCTGTGGGGACAGCGCGGGTCGGAGAGACAGCTGCCCCTCCCGCCCCGCCCAGCCTGCACCACCCGCCCAGACGGCGGTGCCCGCCTGCACCCGGGGTCCTGGGCCCAGCCGCAGGCCCTGCAGGGGAAGGAACCCACCGTGGACAGCTTCTCAATCTCCTCGTCCGAGGCTCCCAGGGATGCCAGGCCGATGTCCTGTGGAGGAAGGAGGAGGCCGATGGGGGAGGGCTCTGCCGCCTTCGCCGGGTGCCGGCGTGAGCTGAGGGTGCTGGGGCTGGGTGCAGCCCCTCAGTGGGGCCTGAGCTGTGGGGCGGTCAAGGCCCAGGACAGCTCCCTGCTGTTCCTCGGACAGCCAGCAGGTGGCAGCACAGACCGTGAGCGTCCACCCCAGCCTGTCCCTGGCTCCCTGACCCAGGCTGATTCTTGGATGGGATCCTTCAACGTTTTTATGAAATGGGCTTCCCAGACGGGGTCTGGGCCCACCCACACCTCTGTATCAGGATGATGCGGTCTCCCTGACCTCTCGGGCCACCCCGGGCAAGGTCGGCTCAGGTGCAGTACTGGGACTGGAGCACAGCTCAGGGGGCCCCCAGCCCCTCAGCTGACTCCTGGCTCCCAATCTGGTCCCAAGGACACACCTGGGAAAACTGGGCAAAGGTCCGGTCGGCCAGCATGGGCACGTGTCCCAACAGTTCATGGCAGCAGTCCCTGTGTCGGGGGTGGGAAGCGGGTGGGGCTGAGGGGGGCCGCCTGCCCTCTGCACACACACCCCCCCCCCCGTGTGGGCCCCGGGCCTCTGCCCGCAGGGGGCTCCCCTGGCCCGCGGGCAGGGCCGGCACACTCACGGCTCCGGGGAGTGCATGGGGGACGAGGCGTGCCGGATGTACTGGGTGCACTGGAACACGCGGAAGGCCAGGCTGGCCAGGAAGTCCCGGGCGGACAGCAGGCCGGCCACGGGCCGCAGCTGGAAGCCGGTTTGCTCTGCATGGGCGATGGGGTCAGAGCTTCTGGAGGTGGGGGCCGCGGGGCTGGGCGTCCCCCAGGCCCGCCGCTCTCCCCTGGGGGGCGGGGCTCACCCTTCAGGAAGCGGGAGACGTCCTCGAGCTGGGGGATGCTGTCCTCCCGGTACCCGCAGAAGCGCTCCAGCAGCCCGAAGGCCTCCAGGTGCTCCCGGCAGGCGTGAGTGGCGTACAGGCCCTTGAGGGTGGTGTACACCTCCTTCCTGCGGGCAGCCGGCCGGGCACTCAGGCCTGGCTGGGCGCCCCGGCCCCACACCGAGCAGCCCTGCTGGCCTCTCCTCGGCTCCTGAAGCCCTTGGCCAGAGAGGGGCCTTCGCTCACGGTCTGGGGGATTTCAGGGGACAGGCGTGGGGGTGGGCAGTCCTTAGCTCCCCGGGTGGGCCACCCAGGCCACCTCTCCGTCCAGGCCAACATTTGGGGCCCCGGGCAGTCCCTCTCCACTGGCCTGCTGGAGCCACTACCCTTGAACAGGGGACTCTGGGGGTCATCCCCAGGCCACTTCGAAGGGGTCTCACCAGGTGGCAATCTCCGTGGCCGTGTAGTCCACACGAGGAATAGGGTCACCACTGTGGAGATAGGGGTGGTCAGGGCCCCTCGGGCCAGCATGGGGGGGGCTGGGGCTGGTGCCTGGCCAGAGGCGTGGTCTGTGCCTCCATTTGCTTAGCTGTGACTTGGGGACCCCGAGCCACATGGGGACCGCAGGGACCGTGCAGGTGTTGGTGCTGGTGGCAGAGCTGCCCCCCCCCCCCGGCCGGTCCAGTCCAGGGCGCTGCGCTGCGGCGGGACAGCGGGGCGGCGGGCATCCTTACTGCTTGTACTGGAAGGCTATGTTGGCGATCAGCTTCCTGCGCTGGCGGTACGCCTGGTCCGAGAAGCCCTGCGGCAGAGGGACGCACCTCAGGACGCTGTCCGGCCGCCCTCCCCACGCACCAGCCCAGCTGTGGCCACGCCCACCACGCCCACCACCCCCACCGCAGGTTCAGGCGGCACGGTTGGGGCCAGCAGGCCGGAGAGGCACCGGCTCACCGGATGATCCAAGTCGAGGTCCGGATCAAACTTGGTGACCAGGTGGTGACATTGGTCCAGCTGAGAAACTTTCCTTGGGAACCAGAGGACTTCACAGAGGGTGGAAGGAAGGAGGAGCCCGGTGAGCACGGGCGGTGGGGGGGGCGTGGCCCACCTGGAGCAGCCTTCCCTGGACCCCTGGCCCGAGGTGGCCAGGCCCGGACACAGGGGCAGAACAGGAGGGCAGGGCCAGCAGGGAGGGCGCCCCCCAGCCGCACCACCCAGTCCTTTCAGGGTTCCCCTGTGGGAGCCTCTGCACCCCTGTGTTTCGGCGTCACGTGGCTGCTCTCAGGACAGAGGAGCTGACCCCACCTTTGCTCTCCCCCGGGCCACGCACGTCCTCCGCCACCCGGCGCACGGAGCTGAGCAGGTTGGGCAGGTCGGCGCTGGGCACCTCACAGCGCACGAAGTACTCCAGGTGGGGGGCCCCCGCACATGGCTTCTGGGCTGGACGGGTCTCCAGATGGAGGATTTGGGCTTCAAATGTCTGAAGGAGCAAAAGCAGGGGAGAGAGGGGAAGAAGTAAGCACTCTGGGGTCCGCCCCTGCCCTGGACCAGACTCTGGGTCAGGTCGGACCCTCGGCCTGGGCAGGGTTTGAGGCTGGGAAATGGGTTTCTGTCCCGTTTGTGTAACAGTGGTCCCCTTGGCCCAGTATTCTAGGTGGCGGTCTGTGTCCGGTGGCCACGCCAGACAACCTGACTTCCCGGCCGCTGCAGAGGTCCCACCATCCCCCGTGGCCTCATCTGAGCCCACCTGCCACACCCAGGGCTGGGGTGGCCCTGGATCCGCCTGTGGCCAGGGCAGAAGGCTGAGACCCTGGCTGAGCGACAGTGAGTGCCCGGGCTGGCAGGAAGGTCCGCCCTGCCAGCTCGTGTCGCCCAGCAACCAGGGTGCTGGGTCTCCAAGGCCCTCCGGCCACGGCCTCCCAGGAGCTGGACAGCAGTCTGGCTGTAATGTCATTTGGGCCCCTGTGCTGGGGGCAGTCTCCTGCCCCCCGGGCCTGGTGTGGCCACATCAGCCATCAGGGACAGGTGGGCATGGCGACCCACTGGTTCTGGGGCGCAAGGTGGTGGGAGTGGGGAGCGGATGGGGGCAGCAGGGCTTGGTGGCTTCACAGGGTGTGGAAGGGCTGTGGCCCTCAGCGGCCTGGGCAGTGGCCCCCAGGGGCCCACCGCGGGTCCGCCGCCGCCCCCACCTCGAATGCCTTCAGGGCGCGGGAGAGCGGAGCGGGCTTGGCGCCCCGCAGCGTGAAGAGCAGGTCCAGCAGGGCCTTCCCGTCCTTCTCCACGCAGGCCCCGGCCCCCAGGGGCTCCGCCGGGTCCGAGGAGGCTGCCGCCGCCTGCGCCTTCTCCCGCTCCTTGCGCGCGTCCTCGATGAGACTCTGCCTCCGCCCGATGAAGTGAGGGGACTGTGGGGACAGGGCAGCCCAGCTCTCCCGGGCCCTGGGGCTCCGGCCTGCCAGCCCAGCCGCAGCAGCGAGCACCCGCTGTGAACTCCGGAGGGACCTGAGGCCGACGTCGTGGGGGTGGGGTGCACCCACGGCAGTGGGGTGCGGCCTGTCCCCGGGCCTGGTTCTAACTGGGTAGATGACAGGACGGAGTGACTCAGGGACTTCGCCTGCTGCCCCTTGGCCCCCAGAGGGGTGGCAGCCAGAGCCTGGGGTTGGGGGGCCACAAGCGTGGCGTCTGCCTGGCAGGGAACTACCCCCGCCTGGCCCACGTGTCCCCAGCCAGCCTCTCCTAGGAGTGACCTCTCCTCATGGTCCCTCCCAGCCCTTCCCCACAGCACAGGGGCACCTGGGCTCCTGGTGCGCTTCGGCCGGGGCACCAGCCTGCCCTCTTACCATGATGGCCTCGGCCTGCTTGGCGTCCAACTCCGAGACGGCCCTGCGGAAGCCCTTGGCCTGCGGCGCGTTGGCGTTGGGAGTGGGCATGGCAGCGGCTCGGGGCTCTCTCCACAGCCCTCAGCCAGGCAGCCTCTTATAGGCCGAGCTGACGTCAGAGTCCCCCCGGACCCCCACCTCCCACCTCCTTCTCATCCCCCTCCGCCTGCTGCGGGAGGGAGGCGGGGTGGGCACGGAGCCGGAGACGCGGGGAAAGGGCTCTGTCCCATTAAATCTAATTGCCTCCCCGTCACCCGCACCCAGGCAGGGGCGGCCGAGCCTGGCTCTGCATCAGCTCAGCCCTGGCAGGCGTGCTCTGTGGGGCCGGGGACAGCTGGAGTCCCCCTCGCCCCACCAGGCGGGGTGGCCAGCGGGGATGCGGGGGTGCGCTGAGCCAGGCACTCCACTGGCGTAAGCCACACAGAACCCTGGAAACCAGGGGCAGAGACCCAGGCTCCCATCTCGGACGTTGGGAGGTGATCTGCTTTTGTAGATGCTTCTCCCCTCCGCCAAGCTTCCCAACAGGGTCCCGCAGCGTGTTGCCATCAGGTGCCCTCCCCCCTTGGCCCCCTGTGCCCCAATCCTCAGGCGCCCAGCAGGACCCAGAATGTCCCAGAGGGTCCATCCCTCCAGCCTGGAGGAGGAGGCCAGGATTGGGGACAGAGTCGTCTCTGACAGTTGGGGTTCCCATGGCCCGGCTCCCCTGGGCTGCAGCCCACAGCACTGCTGCCCCCTCACCGCCCACCCCCGGCCCCCAGCTCCCCCCAGGCCCTCTGACCACTCCTTGCGGGAACCGGCTCATCCCTGAGCACCAAGGGTCCCCGCTCCCCTCCTCCTCACTGAAGCTGGCCCCTGGGATGATGGGGCTTTTGGGGGACTGGAGGGCAACCCACCTAGAGGCCCCCGAGCTCCGAGCACCATGCTCGCGCAGGAGACCAGAGGACAGCGTGGCTTTGGGCAGAGCCTTGCCGATGCCTGGCTGTGGGGTCCCGGCATCTTGAGGCCCTTCAGGGAAAGTTTCCTCTCTCGGAAAAGGACACTCGTGGAAGGGAGCCTGGGCATTGTGGGGTCAGCAGGAAGTGTGTGCTGTGTGCTCGGAGGCCCACCAACCAGAGAGGGAGTGGGCCTGTTGTGGTCACTGGAGATGGGCAGCCCAGGGGACATACTAGACACTGCAAGAGCCAGAGTCCTGTTCTCCACCTCCAGCCCGCAGGTCCACCCCTGGCTGGTCACCCCCGCAGGCCCACCCCTGGCTGGTCACCCCCGCAGGCCCACCGCTGGCTGGTCACCCCCGCAGGCCCACCCCTGGCTGGTCACCCCCGCAGGCCCACCGCTGGCTGGTCACCCCCGCAGGCCCACCCCTGGCTGGTCACCCCCGCAGGCCCACCCCTGGCTGGTCACCCCCGCAGGCCCACCGCTGGCTGGTCACCCCCGCAGGCCCACCGCTGGCTGGTCACCCCCGCAGGCCCACCCCTGGCTGGTCACCCCCGCAGGCCCACCCCTGGCTGGTCACCCCCGCAGGCCCACCCGCTGGCTGGTCACCCCCGCAGGCCCACCGCTGGATGGTCACCCCCGCAGGCCCACCCCTGGCTGGTCACCCCGCAGGCCCACCCCTGGCTGGTCACCCCCACAGGCCCACCCCTGGCTGGTCACCCCCACAGGCCCACCCCTGGCTGGTCACCCCCGCAGGCCCACCCCTGGCTGGTCACCCCCGCAGGCCCACCCCTGGCTGGTCACCCCCGCAGGCCCACCCCTGGCTGGTCACCCCCGCAGGCCCACCGCTGGCTGGTCACCCCCGCAGGTCCACCCCTGGCAGGTCACCCCCACAGGCCCACCCCTGGCAGGTCACCCCCACAGGCCCACCCCTGGCAGGTCACCCCCACAGGCCCACCCCTGGCAGGTCACCCCCACAGGCCCACCCCGGGCAGGTCACCCCCGCAGGCCCACCCCTGGCAGGTCACCCCCGCAGGGCCCCCACCCCTGGCTGGTCACCCCCCGCAGGCCCACCCTGCGCGGTCACCCCCGCAGGCCCACCCCTGGCTGGTCACCCCCGCAGGCCCACCCCTGGCTGGTCACCCCCGCAGGCCCACCCCTGGCTGGTCACCCCCACAGGCCCACCCCTGGCTGGTCACCCCCGCAGGCCCACCCCTGGCTGGTCACCCCCGCAGGCCACCACCACTGGCTGGTCAACCCCCGCAGGCCCACCCCTGGTGGTCACCCCCGCAGGCCCACCCCTGGCTGGTCACCCCCGAGGTCCACCCCTGGCAGGTCACCCCCACAGGCCCACCCCTGCAGGTCACCCCCACAGGCCCACCCCTGGCAGGTCACCCCCACAGGCCCACCCCTGGCAGGTCACCCCCACAGGCCCACCCCTGGCAGGTCACCCCGCAGGGCCCCCGCTGGCTTGGTCACCCCCGCAGGCCCACGCTGGCTGGTCACCCCCACAGGCCCACCCCTGGCTGGTCACCCCCGCAGGCCCACCCCTGGCTGGTCACCCCCGCAGGCCCACCCCTGGCTGGTCACCCCCGCAGGCCCACCCCTGGCTGGTCACCCCCGCAGGCCCACCCCTGGCTGGTCACCCCCGCAGGCCCACCCTGGCTGGTCACCCCCGCAGGCCCACCGCTGGCTGGTCACCCCCGCAGGCCCACCGCTGGCTGGTCACCCCCGCAGGCCCACCGCTGGCAGGTCACCCCCGCAGGCCCACCGCTGGCAGGTCACCCCCGCAGGCCCACCCCTGGCAGGTCACCCCCGCAGGCCCACCCCTGGCAGGTCACCCCCGCAGGCCCACCGCTGGCTGGTCACCCCCGCAGGCCCACCCCTGGCAGGTCACCCCCGCAGGCCCACCGCTGGCAGGTCACCCCCGCAGGCCCACCCCTGGCAGGTCACCCCCGCAGGCCCACCCCTGGCAGGTCACCCCCGCAGGCCCACCGCTGGCAGGTCACCCCCACAGGCCCACCCCTGGCAGGTCACCCCCGCAGGCCCACCCCTGGCTGGTCACCCCCGCAGGCCCACCCCTGGCAGGTCACCCCCGCAGGCCCACCGCTGGCTGGTCACCCCGCAGGCCCACCCCTGGCTGGTCACCCCCACAGGCCCACCGCTGGCAGGTCACCCCCACAGGCCCACCCCTGGCAGGTCACCCCCACAGGCCCACCCCTGGCAGGTCACCCCCGCAGGCCCACTGCTGGCTGGTCACCCCGCAGGCCCACCCCTGGCTGGTCACCCCCGCAGGCCCACCCCTGGCTGGTCACCCCCGCAGGCCCACCCCTGGCTGGTCACCCCCGCAGGCCCACCTCCTTAGCACATCTCAGCCCCTGGAGCCAACCACTCTTCATCTCAGCTCCTCTACTCCCGTACCTTCCCCAAACTATTCTGACCTCATTGTTTTCCTGCTCCCGAACCCTCTGTGGCTCCCCACTGCCCCGTGGAAGCAGCCAGAATGCTGTCAGGACAGAGGAAAGTTCCTCCCCTCACCTACTCCTGCTGACTTTCTTAACCTGACCACTCCCACTTCCTCCTCCAGGAGGGTTTGGGGCTCCATGATACCCAGTTTGACATACCATTCCTTACCTGATTTCTCTCCCGGCGAGCTCCTATGCAACCCACAAAACCCAGCTCAACATCACTCACTTTGCAATACCTACTCTTCCTTGCACCTGGTATTAACTTCCCCTACCTCTGCTCTCTTCCTGGCGTCTCCTCCTCTGCAAACTCCCTGTGGGCAGGAACCCACCAGCGTGGCTCCCAACTGCCTCCCGGTGCCTAGTGCAGCCCTGCCGGTCACTCTGCTGGACTCTGGTAACTCGAGAACAGTTCTCAGTGGCGTCTGCCTCCAGGCCCTGGCCCAGAGGAGGTCCTCCACAGGGCTGTGTACCCCGAGAGGCACTGCCGGGATCTGCCCAGACCCCAGCGCCAGGGGTGGGGGCTGGGCTTGCTCGGGGGGGCTGACAGGGTGGTCTGCAGGTGGCAGCTGACCCACCTGAGCCCCATGGCCCTGGCAGCCCAGCTCAAGCCTGGCGTCTGGGCCGGCCCCCAGGCCCGTAGGAGCTCTGGCCCCCTGGGGCTTCCGTCTGCCCCTCCAGGAGGGCTGCTGGGGACCCTCGGTGACGTGGGTCCAGCTCTGCCTGTTTGCGCAGGGCCGGGGCAGACCGATCGCTAAATACTGCGGCAGGAGGCAGGCCTCTGCCGGTGTGGATTTAACCTTTCGGCAAATGTCTCCTGCTGACACAAATATTGTTTCTTAATTCCTGTTCTACCTGCGCCAGCGTGGAGCCGGGTGGGAGCCAGGCATTTCCGGTTCTCCCCTGGGACCAGGCCAGCGCCGAGGGCCAGAGCCAGCGGACACCCTGCGAGGGGAGCACGGTCCCCTCTGGCCTCCAGCCTCCCACCAACCAGGCTTTCGTCTGTGTGTCCCTCCGTCCCGTGTCCCGGGGCATCCTGAGAGCCTTCCCCACACTCCAGGGAGGCCTCCCTGGGCCTCCAGCCCTGCCCAGGTGTGCGCCTTCTCCACCCGGGGGCGAGGGGACAGGGTGGACCCCGAGTCTACCCACCAGCCTCCTCCCCTGGGTCACAGCCAGTGTGCCCCAAGTCCCTGACATTGCTTGTTCGAGGGCCCCGTGATGTCTGTGTCCAGGGGCTAGGCGTGGCCTACCAGGCTGCCGTGAGCAGGGACCCCGAAAGGGAGGGCAGGGCTGGAGAGGGCTCTGCGGGAAGGGGAGCTGGGTGGGCTTGGGGGTGAACTGGGCATGGAGATGAGATGATGAGGGGTGTGGGCGTGGCCAGGGCTCAGACCCTGTCTGCTCACCTGCTCCATCCCTGTCTCCCTGCACCCCCCCAGCCACCCCGAAGAGACACAGCTCCTGCAATTAAGAGACAGCCTCTCTCAGCGAGACCTCCGGAGATGAACAGCCCATAATGACAGCGTGCTCCCTGGGCTGGGGCGCCTGGCGTGCGCGGGGCGGGGGCCGCAGCGTTCAGCCCCCACTCCGTGGTCTCCGGGCTCCTTCCCAGCCCCCCAGCTGTAGACTCCGGCCCACAGAGGGGCCCAGAGATGGTTGCAGAGGGGAGCGGAGGAGGGCACGGCTCTGGGGTCCCCATCCCGTGGCTCTGCAGGACCCCACCTTCGAAAA